CACCCTAGTGTTTAGGGTTTGGGGTCCAGGGTTTGGGGTTTCGGATTTAGGGTTTAGGGGGTTTGGGGTCGGCCCTTGGGGATATAGACCCTCTCAATCAGCTCCCGTTTTAAGAGAGCCAGAAGCAGGGTCAAGGACGGGTCCCCCTTTAAGCGGTCTCCCGAAGACGACCTAGGATAAAACCCATCTGAAAGCCCCCAAGGACGGTGGAACCCTTTGAAAAAAACCGCCTAAACACTCGACGATCAGAAAGCGTAACCCCAAGCCCTAAAGCGTGTAACCCTCGAGACTCCTAAGCTTCATCAAACCCTTTATAATCCCTAAACCCTACTCACTAAATCCCGAAACCCAAACCCTTAAACCCTGAACCCAAACCCCTAAACCCTAAACACTTCTCCGAAATATGGGACCCGACGCCCAGCTGGGTTTCAGGATTTGGACTTTTCGGGCTTTAGGGCTTTAGGCTTTTGGGTTAGGGTTTAGGGTTTAGGGTTTAGGGCTTTAGGGTTTTGGGTGACGGTATAGGGTTTAGGGCTTATGGGTAGTTCCCTAAGTTAAGCTCCCTTTTTGGGCACCCAAAATAGTATGGCACCTGTATAAACAAGGCCCTAAGCGGGACCCTGACTTAGAGAACTACCCTTATGCTTTCCTCTGTTCGAGGTTTAAGGGTGGTACTACTTTAGGATTTACAGCTTAGGGTTTCAAGTTGTGCGTTTGGGTTTCCTTCAGGAGTCTAGAGTTAGGCGTCAGACTCAGACAGACCGATTCTGTCTCAAGGAGCGTGAAAAAGAGGGTGAAGAAAATCATGGCGATGCCCTGATTCAACGCGCTCTCGCTGGTGATAAGCCTGTGCTTCTTGCTACTTTGAGGGTTTTGGAGTCTCAGGCATGTCATTGAAGGTTTCGGCATCCGGGGTTGCGACATCAAGAACCAAGGTCCCTCCATCTCCACAAAGACCCCTTAAACCCCTATCCCCTAACCTTACACTCAGAGCATAAACAAACCAAAACTCAAGCATGGCGGCCCCGTAGGTCAAAACAGAAAAGAGCCACTGAACGGTTTAGGGTTTAGGGTTTAGGGTTTAGGGAGCCGAAGCAACAGCTGCCATAAGGTTTAGGGCTTAGGGGGTTTTGGGTGTTGGGTCGCAAGAAGGAAACACCCCTAAACCCTAAACCCTAAACCCTAAACCCTACTCTCATT